AACGCTAATGACAGTTCGATGAACGGTACATGTAATACATATACATATACCCCAATAAATTCTAAAACGGAAATGTCATAAGCTATAATTTAAGAATAATACAAGAATATTTTCAGCCTAAAATCGGCAGAAAAATAAGAATATTCAGCCTGGGCCGGAAAAACAACATTCTTATAAAAAAAAAAAAGAGTGTATGACCAATTTCCATGATTTATGGCATCCTTAATAAAGAATAGTCGAACTTTAAGAAAATGTCATTTATTTTCTTGTAGGTATAAAAACGTTTGAGATATCGGCATATGTTTAAAACCGCGTTTTTACAAAAAATGTCAACAATTTCGAAACCCTAAGACAGATTTTTCTCTAACTTCGGCAAATAAGCCTCAGAGCTCTCTAATTTTATATATGCAGGTTTGAAGTCAATCGTCACCGTAGAAATCGCTGCACAAATAGCTGGTCAAATTTAACGTTATAATGCAACACTTACACATTTTTGAAAGTTTACGCACGAATAGAGGAAAACTGCCAGCGGACTATCTCATATCAGCAAGGGTATTCTTGCCCAAAGTTTCAGTTGCAAGAAACTGAGTTAAATCAGAAACATACGGCGAATACAGTTCGCATGAAGAATAACTTTATGCTGAATGCCGGGCAAGATAAAAGATTAATTTCTGTTTATCAAACTTCCTTTGTATTTGTCCTCTCTGTTGACCTTTACGCTTCGATATGACCGCAAACTACCAGGTATAATACGCGACGTGAATATTCAAGCTTAGCGACGGCGTTCGCGCAACAATGCAGCACTTGCTATGGGAGGGATGGTACTATTGCTTCTAGGTCAATCAATCGGGAAAATAGTATTGAAGCCCTTGTAATTTTTAAAAAGATCCAATTTGCCCTAGGATCACCACTGCTCATCAACAGTGGTTGTTGATGAGCGAGCAATTATGGTGCAGTTGCGATGGGTTTTGTGGAGCCAGCTAGCAAGAAGCAGGAGCACACGTTACCTGCAGATTAGCCGATTACAATTTGGAGCGGATTCGTCGATTATTCTCGAATTTATAGCGCTTCGTGTGAAGGCGTGTGGAGATGGTCCGTTTGTTTTGTAGCCAGCCTTTAATTCTTCTTTAGTAGATATATAGTACCTACAATTGCAAAACTCAACAAAATGCCACTTAAACCGGCCAGACAAGGATACGTTCAGTTGAAGGTATCTTAGCTTTGTTTTGTTATATTTTGACTTTTGGACTATTTTAGTTCATGGGAGTTTCGACGACTCATCGCATTAATTTGTCCATTTGAATATTAATATACTCATTCAGTGACACATACTACGTCTGGGCCGCCTGTGGTGGCTTTATTTCTCCTCAAGACGGGAACCTTCGTGCTAAAAACTGGTAGGAGATTTCCGTAGCCTGCGTAGCTGGCGGTATTGTGTAGTAGTCGAGTGAGATCCGTAGAGGTTATATCCTGCTTTGTTGAGATTTTTTGCGAAAAGAGAAGGGAAAATACACAGTAACTTTGATAAATAGGAGTTATTTAATCTAGCCCCGCATTCAGCATAAAGTTGGGCAAGATTTCCGTATAACCCCATACATTAATTATGTATACATTCATTGTTTAAAGAAAACAAAAGACAGAACAATACTAAGCCTTTGGGATTTCAGCTATTTGTGCAGCGAGTTCTACGGTCACGATTGACTTCAAACTTGCAGAAGAGAGCTCTGAGCCTTATGTGCCGAAGACAGAGAAAAATCTGTCTTAGGGTTTTGAAATTATTGACATCTTGTAAAAATGCGGTTGTAAGCATATACCGATATCTCAAACGTTTTTACACCTATAAGAAAATAAATAGCATTTTCGTAAAGTTCGACCATTCGTTATTATGGATGCCAAAAATCATAGAAATCGGTTAAATCATGCCTGCCGAAAAACCCGATTCAAAAACATAACCAACGCGCAAATAAATCGGTTCGGGCCACCTTAAGTAGCTCAAACGTCTTCGGAACATCTGAGGGCATTTCGGCAACGTTCGGAAGTCTCTTCGGAAAGTCATCGAAAATCTTCGGAAGTCGCCTCTCAACGGGACGTTTTCGAAAATCCCGGTCATGACAAGGTGAAAATCTCACGCATTTGACTCAGAAAAAGTTGGCAGGTATAATATTGGCACGTAGATCGTAACAAAGATAAGAAAGGCCGTACCGTAATCATGTCGGGAAAAAGCTTGCAATTGCTTTTGTAACCCCCCCATTAGCAGCCATCGTATGCTGGAGCGTTCTCAGAGGAGCGTAAATTTTAGATCATAGTTTATTAACGAAATGACACTTAAGCATCTTGCTGCTAAGATTACCCATAAAAACGCGCATTAATTTGATACCATTGTCTGACGAAAAGAGTGGAACAATGCTATTTAAGGCCATAAAAACGGGTTTTGTCAGTTGTCAGTAAAACTTAAGGCAAATGTCAGTTGTCAGTTAAATTTTAGGCTTTTTGTCAGTTACCAGTTAATTAACCCCATTCAGGCCCTCAATATTATATACCTGCCAAATTTTTCTGTGTCAACTGCGTGAGATTTTCAGTTTGTCATGACCGGGATTTCCGAAAACGTCTCGGCGGTCGGCGACTCCCGATGATGTCCGATGGCTTTCCGAAGGCTTCCGAACGTTGCCAAAAATTCCCACAGATGTTCCGAAGACGTTGAGCACTTTGAAGCTACTTAAAACGACAACAATTTTAGCGTGATTTGGTTAGAACGCAAAAAAAGGGCACAACGTTCTCATTTAACGCCTCTCTGGATTGAATTTTCGTTATTAATCATGTGTTAAAGAACAATTTGTCCGGATTTGTGCGTCTAGCGTGAGAAATTGTCCTTGATGCGTGAGATCGATCTCTTTAGTCCACAGGTGTGAGACTCATGCATAATACGTGAAAACTGGCATGCAGGTATCCTATATACTGAAGGTATAAATTTTGATTTGCTTAATGGTTGAAAATGTTGGACTCTGGCCAGCAAAAACGTTCGAGTGGAGGAGAGTAACAAAAGACTTGACAAATGGAGTTCCACTTGAAACGCTTACAATAGCAAACCTGATAAAAATTAAGATACTATTGCATCAATTTTCGAATTTAACGTTCAATTTAGTACATAGTTAATCATTAATAATCATTTAATTGACAACTGTCAAATTTTTGACTGTCAACTGACATTTGTAGTCCCCTATCCAGACCCTCTTAGAGTGGTGAGAGTGAACAACAAAATAATATGCCAAATACGTTTTATTTTAACTGTCTAAAACACTGTCGAAATTCTTGAGCTAAGGCGGATGGCGCAAATGTTTGGCCACCTCCTTGAGCAGAAAGATGCACTCTTTTTTCCGTTATTTCTTTTTGCACAAGGTAACGCCTTTTTTACTTTGTTGTGTGCTGCATGTACATGTGTCAGACTCTCAAATTGAATTGGCAATCTTGGGTGACCAAATGGATATTTAGCAAACTCGTTTATATTAATTTAACTGACAAAACGGATCTAAGGGCTTCATGAGTTAACTCAGTCGTAAATTATCACATGTGGGAGCTGTTGGCTGGGAACCGCACAGCAGTTATCTCAGGACATGCGCGGGGATCGAAGGTGGATCGTGGGTTGGTGTATGTGTGCCCCTTGCTTTAAGTTTGTCTTTTGAAAATGGGGAATTAAATTGTTCTACTGCATAAAGAATTTGAACAGAAATGCATAAAGAAATTTATTCATTAATGTTCAGAAAGAGTAGGTCAAGTAGAAGATGTATTAGGTTTTCCTGACGTGGAACACAACCTAAACTCAAACTGCGAAAAGCCTGAGTCTGAGTACGAACATCAACGGAACAAAACGTTAAGTCAAGTGCCAGGAACAGAAATGCGTCATAGACTTAAAAATTCCCGTCCCCAGAGCTCGTATTTTCTTTGGAGAACGAGTGCTTCAGATTAAAAAAAAACGTTTATTGAAACAAACAAAAGTCAGCTGGACACAATCACTGTTAATTTGCCGAAATAAGGCAAGTAATCGGTCGGCAATAAAACACTGCGAATAGGTCATTTCCGAGTTACCCCAAGTCCGCGTTTCAAAGGGACGCTAAGTGTAACTGGTCATTGATATGAAAATAATTTTTATTGTCATGCTAATAAAACTCATTTTCACAGCTTCAAGAAAGGTTTCGCGCTTAGCCTCGTTTGAAAGTGAGAGAAATGGCCCATTCACTTTCTTGGCAAATTAGGGAAAATCTCATTATCGTTATTAAAAACATGTTTTAGTCTGATAAAAGAACAATTTCATTACACAGAAATACATAGAAGTGGCATCCAAGATGCATGCAATTAGCTCGTTATTTTTCAAGAAGTTCTAAAAGCCTTTTTTCTCAAGCCCATCGTTTCTCAAAATATGGATTGGTCTGGAGAGCATCAGGCTCTAACTTGCCAAAGTTGGTTCAAAAGAGGGTGGTAAAGGGGGGGGGGGGGGGGGGGGGGGGGGTTAAGCATTTTTTCTCAAGCCCTATGGTTGCAAAAATTTGGGTTTGGCCGGAGGGCGTTTTCTAAATGGCACAAAAAGGGTCAAAAAGGGGTGGTAAAGGGGGGGGGGGGGATGGGTATTGCTCACGTTTCCTGGAAAATAAATTGGCCGTTTCACATTTCAAGTTTCACGAGAAAAAAAAAACGTTTTTATACGATCAGTTTTTCTTACTTTGGTTAAGAAGGTAAAAAGGAAACCGAGTTCTTTGTTTAGAAGTTGAGGCTCGGCACCATCTTGTTCTAACACAGAATCATTGTCATCAGAGGAGTCGTCATCGTATTCAAAGGTGATTTCACAATTCACGGGGAATAAAACAAGCAATTCACGGTTCACGAAAATACCCTTTACCACCCTCTCAAAAGGAACGGTCGTAAAGTTACAGTGAAGTCAGTACACAATTGAACAAGCCTTGAGCAAGTGCTTCCAATGTTTGCATTTCGGTTCAGTTTATGCAGTTTTGAGTCAACAAACAAATTTGTTCTTTCTCCAGGCCTCCGATTTCAGGTTTGCTCTTGAAAGATCTACAAATTGGCAGTTTCCTGGGCGCAAAGTTCAGTTCAGTCTCACAATAAGCATCCCTGAGTCCACCCCCCTTAGAGTTAAAATTAAACTTCCGTTCATTGGCAGTCCTATAATGCGACTCACAGAGGCTAAGTACTCTTCAGTCAGCGAACACCTCACTTCTAGCGACAACACAATCACAATGACGTCTTCAGCAAACGACGGTCTGAACGACATAGCTTTCTTCGAACTCGGGAACATAACGCGGGGCCCATCTGTGAACAATACTGAAATTAAGATCGATTTTGAGGTGCAGCTATTGAATCATGCCAATATTACTAATGGAGGTGCGCAGTGGGTGAGCGTGGGTGCAGAGTACATTAATCAATCCGTATGGGCAGCACAGATGGCGATCAAGACCATCAGCGCAACAGTCAGCAGACCAGATTTGAAGGTTTCACTCTCGCCTGACAATGACGGTTATAGCAGACTTTTGGGGTATGGTATTCTCATTCAGAATGTTAATTGCCACCAGGCTTACTGTCTGGAAAATTTCCTTCCAAGGAATTTTGAAAATCCTGGAAACAAACCAGCCGTGAGATCTGTATTTTTGAGTGACAATTACTGACCAGACGTAAACCATTCAATTTTTAAGACGTCTTCTTGGCTAAAGACGATGATCGTTTCATGCTATGGTTTTTCTTGTTCAGTCAATGCATCTGTGAAAAGGGTACATCTCTTTGCCATGGCAATAACTGCATTCTTGATTTCAACAACATACCCAGAAGTAACGATTATTTTATATGTCAATTTAATCTTCAGTATTCAAGCATTTGTTGCCATTACTTGATATCCCCCCCTCCTGTAAAACATTCAGGCCCCTAGTTTCAAGAATAAAATTCATGCAGATGTGTCATTATTTTCTGTTTCCTCATTTATATTCATTTTTTTGTGCGGATAGTATAAATCATAAATGGCGCATTATCTTAATTAGTACTGGTGGGTGTTGCCTACGATGGAGGGCCAAAAATCCTTGGCACGATTATTGAAAACCTTCCTTCAACAGCGCTGAAATATCAAATATGCAAGTGTAGCATAGTATCTACTACTGAAATACTTTGGATGCCTCAAATGGCCCTCCACTTCCCTTCCCCCTCCAAAACAATGTTGGGATAAACAAACACTTTTCAGGACGGGGTGCAGAAAATTCAACAAAATTTGCTTGGGGGCGAGGGGAGAAGGGATCCAGTTTAAGTCGAATCTTGATAACTGTCTCAAGACTTTTGAACTCTGTTGTAGGGCCCGGCCCGTTGAAAAGTAAATAAAGGAATAAAGGATATTTGATTTAGGATGAGTGAACTTTCTTTTCTACATTTACTTATCATTTTTGTTTTTCTGAAAAAAAAGGGGGCAAAGCAAATTCCGCCTGTCACTTACTCATTCGTGCGTGACAACTGAGGAGGTAGGAAGTGGGATTATTGAATGGCCTCTGCCGCCTGTCCTGACACTGAACAGTTGGAAAACAGCGGTACAATCCATGAACATCAGTGATGTGTTCAACAGTACTACCATGGTGATTTTCAAGGTAATAGAGAGATAAAGATGTTGACTATAGCACCAGTTAATGTTCCAGGTTTACTCTCTGTTCAATACTGCTATTCTGAGCCATTTACGCACTGAGGCAGAGAAAAATCTGTGCGTCCCTGGTCAGAGCTATTATTTTTTCGTTTTTTTTTTCTCATCCTATAGGTATTTTTTTTATAATTGTTGATGAGATACTTTTCTTTCAGTAGAATTTTTATTTTTTTTAATCAGTCAATACAGCTGGAAAATCATCGTGATTTTTTTTCGTCACAATAACCTTTCTTGGCCAAGTTTTCAAGGCTTTAGACTTAAACTCTACAGTCATATTGGTTCCTGGGGGGCGAAAAAATTGCTGATGAGATCCAACACTCTTGACGCACAGGTACTATGTTTTTCTTGTTACGTGGTTTTCAGTTTGGACCTATGAAGTTTTGGGAGACGATCGACCTGGAAGTAACGTTTGATATTGATTTGCACAAGACAAGAGCCGATGGCAAAGTACATGACTTAACCACTCATGTAAACGTCAAGTACAATGGGTCAGGGGGAACATGCAGATCGTTCTCGGGCTTTCGCGAGTTTACCACTGAAGGGCCAGCCACAGTTTCTGTCAAGTATTATGTCCCACGTAAGTTTGAACCGAGCCAATACGTCGGGTATTTTATGGGGTATTTCCTATAAGTTTCTTTAAAAAAAGCGCTTGTATCAAATAAAGTACTTAAAAAATACTCGAATGAAGGGATAAAAAATACCGGTCCCAAAAAAGATAATTAAAGTGAAGGACTCTGACTGAAGCTAATTCCTCCAGAAGAAGAAGATTAACAATTAATTCTGCAATTCCAGTTAAATTTTATAGCCTCCAGAATAGGGACTGTAAATATTTTGGCATAGCCTCCCCAATGTGAAAAAATAAGTGCTTGGCAATTTCTTTCAGTCCTCAGCAATGCCATTTTTTTTTTTCTTTTTCTCTTTTTTGTAGTAGGGTCATGTGATCACGCCCTTGGTCTGACGGATGGGAGTATTGCTGATTCCCAGATCACTGCTTCCTCATATGCTGTGGGCGGGGAACCACATGAGGGAAGACTGAATGGCAACAAAACTTGGATACCTCATGGCCAGCTTGCGTAAGTCATATGTTGATTTGTAGACCCTGAAGTGCGTCTCTTGATTATTCGAAGTAAAGTTTAGCAGTAAGACTTCATTGATTGGACAAACGATTGGAAGCTAGGGCAGACTGAAAATGGAGCTGAGAGGATAGGGAATGTAACGAGCCTTATTTTCACTTTGCTTGGTATCCTTTTTTCTAGTTTGGGGGAATACATCACATAACCCCTCATTACTATTCACTGTCTGAAAAGCTGGTGGCGGCTTTGATTGTAACAGGGGAGAGTGGGGCTGAAACAGTTGTTGATAACCCGGAGTAGTCATCGATAAAAATCGGTACCGATTTATCAATCGATAAATCGATAAAAGTCGGTAAATCTGATTTGATTGATATCGATTGTATCGATCAATCGGTAGAAATCGATGAAACACTAGTACTCGTTTCATTTATCGATTCATCTAGATTTTACCGATTCCATCGATTTTTATCGGAAACCGACATCTGTTCTTCTGTTCATCCAAAATTGAAAACTGATTTCATGCAAACAGTGAATTTGTTGACAATTGAGTTGCAAGTGAGATTCGAAGGATCAAACAATTTATTATCACTTTTCAAAAAAAGATTAAAAAATCTTATCTTTTCTTTAAAACCCACTTTAATGTCATTTGCCAAATCATGGTAAGAGAAGGATTGCAGCTCACAAGCTGAAACTTGGCAAGTGACAAATATACTGATGAAAGATTTTGATTGACAGGTAAAATTTGACTTTTTCGTAGTTTCCATGGCAACATGAACGATTATAACGAGCCGCACGATCTTAGCAACCAAAAAAACCCCTCAGTATCCAGCTTAGATAGCTGAGTAAAAGTCAGCTATTTCAGCTGGATACCCAGTAGCTAGCAACATTTCCTATTCCATTAATCTCTGATCGTATTTTGCATCTAATATGATAGAGGCGTCAATTTTCACGCAATCATGTCATCATCCTGGGGTGAGAAATAAAATTAATTAAAAGTGCGGTATCAAACAAAATGTACGGAAAAAATAATTCAGTGCTTCTAAAAAGAACATTGTAAAGTCTGCTGTCGATCTCATTGCCAACACAGGCAAGGACGATTAAATATCTATAGTTCAATATTACCCAATTTCGCTAGTGCTCCCCTTATTGTAGTTCGATGCTGTGTATCTTTCTTTCTGCGGGTGCAAATGCTAAACGTGTTATATATTTCACAAGCGCTTACTCCATTAGGCATTTAACATAATGTCAGGACTTCCATCTGGATGAACCAGAAATGATATAAGGATATAAAAAGAACTGTCTATTTTTTTTCGGCTACGGGACGAAATGCTAAACATGTTATATGTCCTTGACGCGTTCAGGCATGATATAATCGTGATGCCAGGACTTCTACCTGGGTGAACTAGAAAGGATATTAACAGAACAGCTGCCTAGTTTTTTTTTTTCGGCTACGGATCGAAATGCTAAACATGTTATATATCCTCACTGTAATTTTCAGGGAGTTATAATAACTCCTCTAGTGGGGCTAATTTAACTCCTTACAGTGGAGTTATTTTTCGTGGAGTTATTTTAACTCCAAAAAGGAGTTTAAAGAACTCTTTTTCAGGAGTAAAAGTGACCCCAGATATTGAGGAGTTAAAATAACCCCAAAAAAGGAGTTATCCTGTACCTAAAATTTTTACTCCACTTTCAGAGTTAAATTAACTCCAAAAAGAGTAAAAACAACCCATGTAAGGAGTACAAGTAACCCCATTTCGGAGTAATTTTAACTCCAGACTGGGAGTAAAAAGAACTCTTTTTCAGGAGTAAAAATGACCCCAAATTCGGAGTTAAATTAGGAGTTAAAATAACCCCAAAAAAGGGGTTATCCTGTACCTAAAATTTTTACTCCATTTTTGGAGTTATAATAACTCCCTAAAAATTACGGTGCTAGAAGCGCTCAGGCATAATAACATCCGTGCCAGGACTTCTACCTGGGTGAACCAGAAAGGATATAGAACAACTGCCTAATTTTTTTTCCGGATCTGCTGATAAACGATTATTATTATTATTATTATCATTATCATTATCATTATCATTATCATTATTATGATATGTTAAGGCAAAAGAAGACATCAAGATTGAAACCTTTGGGCAAAATTCAACTTTTTCCAGTTGTCCAAGCTAGAGATATTGCCAATCAATCATATTCTCAGAACACACGTTAATGAGCCAGAAACCCCTTTAGCAGATGTCGGTTTCAGTTGAGGAGTGGGGGTGGGGGGTGGAGGTGGGAATGTTGTGAAATAGACCGATCATTAGAAGTTCAAATAGTTCAATAGATTCAAAGTTATAGATAAAAAACTGATTACTCATAAGTGATTCTCACAATTATTTTGTGCCTCAGTCAGATGACAAACCAGCACCTAGAGGTTAGCTTCAGTTGCAAAGTCAAAATTAACAGACTTGTCACCAAGGGTCTTGGTAAAAACTACGTCAAGAGCTTTTTCCTATTTTACAGTAAAGATGGCCATATTTTTAAATCCTACAAGTTGGGCAGCAAAAACATGGTAAGCGGACGTCCCTTGATGATCTTTTGAGTAATACGTTTTGATGAACATCCGTTTTAAAATCTTTGCTCCGCTAGCATATACTGATGTTGCAAATGCCATCTTTACACCCTAAGTATCGGCAATCTACATATCGCCTGTTTAGAATTGACGTTCTTATTGAAATTCTTCATGCATGCGCCATGTGAAAACTCACAGGCCTGTATTTTTGTTATAATTATTGCTGCTGCCTGTTAACTTTAGGTTTTTCACGCCAACACAAATGGTAAGGATCCAGCGGTCATTATCCTACCGGTGCCTATAGAAGCAGTGGCTGTCCGCGTTAACCCTAATAGCTGGGAAAACATTATTGCCCTTAAACTGGAGTTTTACGGGTGCGTGCTGGATTGCCCTTTTACTCACTATCTATCTATCTATCTATCTATCTATCTATCTATCTATCTATCTATCTATCTATTATATATAGGCGGGTCTTTGTTTACATTTTTTGCCACATTAACATATGTTCATCATTTATTTATCTGATCAAGCTAATAAAATAAAACCTCTAAATATTAAAAGAATGTAACAATTTCAGTTATCTCTGAAAATTTGAGACTGATATTCCGAATGCTTTCGGAGAAATTCTCGAAATTTATTTAGAATGTATGGTTCATTAACTTTTTTGCCACTCAGGAATTTTGAAGTTTTCGATGGTTGATAATTATTTCCTTCAATATTACTTGCAAAGAGCGGAAAATAGCATAAATTGCAAAAGTTAACCAGTTTTTTCAACCTTTCAATTTAGTTCGCATATACGGCTACGGCGTCTATGGGAAAAGTCGTATGCATCCTAATACTTTGTAAGGACTCCGAAATGCATTCCTGGGCACTGATATCCTTCTCCCCTAAAAAATCTTTGGGAGGAAGGCTCAATTAGTGTGTTGGATCAAACAGACAATTTTTTGTTTCAAAACGTTCCTGCATCAATGGTTGCGTTCGATTGGGAAATCCGGATTTCGGATTTTGCAATCGAACTGTCGAACGCGAAATCCGAAAATGGATTTCACCTTCGAGAAATCCGTTCTCCGGGTGGATTCCAATTAAGAAATCCAAATCCGGATTTCATGGATTTCCTTTTTACCGTTCGATTGGGAAGTCCGAAAAAGGATTTACAAAACTGTTCTCGTGAACAGCGGTCTTCTTTTTGCTAATTATGCGTGCGCGTGCAAGACCGCTGTTCTTAGGGACAGTTTTTCAAATCCGTTTCGGATTTCTCAATCGAAGGGTAAAAAGTAAATCCAAAAACAGATATATATATATATCTCAGCTTTGAAATCCGTTTTCGGATTTCGCGTTCGATTGCAAATCGAAAATCTGGATTATAAAATCTAAGTACAGATTTCCCAATCGAAGGCACCCAGTATGTTCTCTCTCATTTGACGATGGTTAAGTCATTTGTAAAAAACTACTTAATAATATGTAAAAATTCGTCATCCTCGCTTTGATAAAGCCAGCGTTTTTATCACTTCATATACTGCGCTTACAACAAAAGGTGAAAAAAAAAATTAATGAATAATTCTACAAATCGAACTTTCCGAAGCACAAAATGCCAAGGTTCTGCAGTCGCTTATGCTTTGGCTGTTGAAGTGACATAGTTTGGAATTGTGGATTGCCTGGTCTCACCAGCAAATTTGACTGTAGGTAATTTAGTTCAAAGATATAATTGCTAAAGAAGTGGCGATTTTATTCATGCAGGACCGTTGACGTTTACCAGTCGTGGATATCTCTTGGACAAAATAAACGACGTCATGTCCGTTTGTAGTCTTTTTTTCGCAAGGTAAGTTTATTCTTCCGATCAAACAGGACGAATGCATAAGATAACAACGAAAAACTACACAGAACTTGTGAAATTTATATTCTAAGGTCTTCTAAGGGCAAGTCAAAAGATTACAAAGAATAAATTTTCAACCTAAGATAAGTGCCTGGACTACGGTGGAAATCCGCAGGCCAATAACACTACAGTAAGTAAACAAAACGGCAAAAGCAAGGTGTCCTTAACTTGCTATTAGGCTATGCTAATTTGTGTATTGTCTATTTTAAAGCCTTGCAGGAAACGTTATTTTCCTTTGTTTTTTTCGTATGGTAATGTTTCTTCATAGGTTGAAAGATAAAGGATAAAATCAAACCACTAAGATAAACGATTAAATTCCACCAGCGCTACAAGAAGAGTCAGGCTAAGAAAGAGAGGCATGCAGAGCATGGTTCGTGTTGAGTTTTGCGTTTCAGTGTGGTGAACTGTCTGAATATAGAAAAGTAACGGAATTAAATATTAGTTTGATCACTCGTTTTGAAACAATTATCTTGTTTTTACAGCTACAAAAGGGGATCTTCCACCTGTTTCCTCAGTTGGGACAGAGGTGCCTCATGGACAGGTAGGAGTTTTGACACTGTTCAGTCCGAGGGGTTTGGAGCACCCTCCCCCCCTTTCTAAAAAGTTGAATAACTTCAAAACCGTCTAAGCGACTTAGCGACTTTCCTAAAACTTTTCTGGAACATTTTTTAGTCGTCGTGACTTGCACGTTTACAGTGAGCTGCCATGGCAACCGAGTTTTGACAGCCGGGTTTTTTAAATAACTTTTTTCTCAAAAAAGGATTTATTTATATATTATTTATTTTAAATATTAGATTATAGCATTACACTTTATTCAGCAATATTTTACCAAATTTATTACAACTGTTAGTGTAAACCAGGGTTTTTTTGTGATTGTTTTGAGACAAAACATGAATTGATTTTAAAAAATGACCAAATGGTAGAAGTTGGGTTTTATTTTCAACAGTGTTTACTTCTCTCGGGATTTCACAACTTAAGGATTTTTTACTTTTTCCTAAGCACCCTTTTAGACGCAGATTAGTTTTTTTTATCACGATTACCTCGATTTATGCCGGTTTTAAGGAAATTTTTTCTGTAAATTCACATTTGTTAAAATATATAGAGAATAATACATGGTCGCACGGAGATATGGAATTTATCTTCGAGTGTTCACATCGATATCGAACGAGTGAGATATCGAATGTGAACACGAGAAGATAAATTCCATATCTCCAAGCGTCCATGTATTATTCTGTTTATTATATAAACATACTGATGACGGCGTTTTTGATGATTTTCCGAAGATTTCCGACCACCTTCCGAAGATTTCCGAAGATTTTTCAAATTGTCCCGAAGACCAGACGAACGTTCCCGAACCTTTTCCGAGAATTTTCGAAAATTTCCGAAGATGTCCGAAGATTTCCGAAGATTGCCGAGCACTTTCGAGGAAGACACGAAGATGTTTCGATGATACACCAACGAATTTAAGTACAATTTAAGAGACAAACCTGATGTCAGTGAAATTATCGATATCTTCACATGTAAAAATATCGTATTTTTACGTGTGTTCAGATACCACATTTCTCGGTGGTAGAAATCCTTGTAAAACACTGCAGTTTATATAATAAATCTCATTATGTAATGATTTACGTAATAATTTGTTACAGTCTTGAATGAAAATTGTAATCATTGCATTGTAGTCATTGTTCTTTAATTGGCTTATAATCCTTATTAATTACTAGTACTAATTGTCACTTTACCTTAAAGCTTTAATTTGCAATGCTGTAACTTCATATAGTCATGCAAATAAAGTCTATGTTGTTGCTCCTGTGAATAAATTCAAATCATTCAAACTGGATGATCCAAGATGGCAGATGGTTGCTCATCCTTCCTTAATGATAATTGACGTCATCATGATATCACTGCTAGCTAACACATTAAAATGTGTTAGCTAACTTCGTCATTTTGTCAGACACCTTAATAATACTATTACTTTCGCTTTGAGAAGAAAATTGGTGGAATTTAGATTCTGCGAATAAATTCAATGATATGATGTCATAATGATGTCAAATTACGTCACTAAGTCAATCAAGACATGCCTTAATGTTGGAAATGATGAGTTCATTACTCTGTGTATTTTTGTTGGCCATATCATGAGATATCATGAGCGGTTTTGAAGTTATGGAGGTGGGGCGAGGGGGGTATGGGCTCCAGAAGGGTCTCAATGGGGTTTACTGTCAGCCGTCAACGGCCTAAAATTTAACCGTCAACGGTCAAAAAAGGTAATTTTTACAGTGAACCGTGAAAAATGCAGATTAATATTAATCGTCAAAAAGTTTCAAGGTATTTCAAATCTCTCAATTTCAGCTAATCTCTCCCGCTCCTGAAGATTAATCTCCAAACTGGAAAAACCATTTCTAGACATTACAAGAGCTAGCTTAGAATTTTGCTAATATCTAAAAATATTTCAAAATTTTCTAGCCAAAAGGTTAAGAAAACCTCCAAAACACAACAGCTAATATTAATTTATGCAGAACTTAATATTTTAAATTAATGTAATGAATGTAACTCAACCGTACGCGTTAAAAGCTCTAAAATTTAGCCTTGAACCGTCAAAATTGGAAAAATTATAACCGTCAACCGTCAAAGCTACCGCCCGATTGAGACCCTCCTCCAGGGCCAGGGCTCGTTTACCAATAGAAAATTGCAAAAGAATAACAAAGTTAACTTTATCACCCAAAATTTTGACCGGTCAAACACGAGACTTGACCGAGCGAAAATTTCTTCAGTGGCCAGTCATCGTGGCTGGCCACCTTCTAAAAAGAGGGTAGGTTTTTAAACACTGGAACAATTAATTGAATCCCAAATGTAAACATAAATGTAAATATCATATTATCCACTCCCCTCAGGGCTTTTCAGGGATAATTTACAACACTGGTTGGGGGACTTTGCCAGACTGCTTAAGGTGCAGTTTACAAATAATGAAGCCTTTTTGATGCCCCCATGCATGTTTGTGAAATCAATTTACCCCCTTTTTTGGCAGCAATGCATCATAGTGTAATTGCTCTCCTCGGATATGACGTTGCCGACAGCATGTGGTACGGCGTTAGCAAAGATGGGAGAGCGGTCGTGAAAAGTTCTTCACATTCTTCCAAGTTCATTGGTGCCGCATTGAGCGATTGGGATGCGGCGAAAGTAAAGTCGACCACAATTCTTGCTAAAATGATTGAAAATGACTTGGCTATCACCAGTTCCACCCTGACTCCACGAGCTGAACATGTTCAAACTTCTAATATTGGCACCAAGTGGGGAGGTAAGTCTACCATGTTCTACTTATAATGATTATAGAGAATTATTTTCCTGGTATTACGAAGTCTCTGACAACAGAAATCTATAGTCAAGCATAGCTGTCAACACTGAGCCCGCTTTTTTCTTTTGGTTGGTTTATTTGGTTATTTAAAGGAATAATTCCCTTTTTTTTATTTTATTTCATTTTTTTGTTTTTTTAAGTGTCTGCTAAGGGCATTCACGTGGAAGAGTCACTAAACTGGAAGCTGAAGGCCGTCTGGATGTATTATGGTCGGTACACGTTCATGTTTAATCTTATTTAGTCATAGCATTCAGCTTCCCCGTCCTCTCCAAAAAGTACACTTTCCAATTTAGGGTGCTTTCGATTGACCTTAGTCTGAAATAGAAATACAACGTCAGACTAATCCTAGCCTCCCACGCATGCGTTTTTAGAAGAGGTTGTTTTTCATCCCTCCCCACAGGGAGGGATGAAACGACCTCTTCTAAAGAGGCTAGGCTAAAGAGGCTAGGCTAATCCGGAATATCCGTTCGATTGCTATATAACTTGCTATTCCAAATCCGAATATGTGGGATAAACTCCAAAGATTCTGCTGCGCAAGCAGAATGACGTCGTTTTCCAATTAGCAGCGTCGCAGAGAGTTAATTCACAAATAACAACAAAGAAAATGGCGGACTTCGTCGGTGAAAATGAAAGATATTTAAACGAGAAAGACATGACATTCAGCAGACGAGGGTAACTACTGGAACAAAAAAGAAACTCTTTAGCATATTTTGAGTATGCGCACCGTAAAACGGACATCTACAATTGACCCCTGTGTTTTCTTAGTCTTTTTGTTTTACCTTCTATTAAAACGTCTCCCTAAGAACGGACACTTACGTAAAGGTAGTTCCCAACGTTGTTCTTCTAAGAGAGTTTGCCATGATGTAATGCAATTTTATCTCCGGATAGGAGCTATCGACATTCACATCTGTTCTGCTGGTTATAATGATGATACAAGTGAAGGGTGTCCTCTAAAGAAAACGGCCTCGATCTTGGTGGATGGAGTTGAGAGGTCGCCAAAAGTGAGTAGTTAAAAAGATATTAGTAATAAACTGTGAGAAAGATGAAGAAGGGATTTCCAGATCTGTATAGAAAAATGCCCTATAGAATTAAGTCACGTTTTGACTTTCTGTCTTCCTTCAATTACCAGGAAAAGGCTTGGAAAAACTAGAATGTTAGTAAGTAGAGTGTCGCCAAAAGAAATAATTTTGTCGTTAAGTCAATAGCTTTGCTTACCTCAGCCAAAATGCGCAAATAGCAAGGCCCCCCTTCCCTATAAAAAGGAATATCTAAATGGCAGAGAAAAATTGCTACATGCTACTTAGTCTATGCCTTCTAGATCTGAAACTAATGGGTATCAGAGTGTAGGGGCGGATCCAGGGGGAGAGTGCAGGGGGTGCGCACCGCCCCTGGGATGACCTGCGGCCGCTTTCTAATTAACACTGTCCATTCGCTTGACAGACATACAAAATCTGCTCTATCGTTTGATATGTATTCTCAGCAGTTCACATTATGTTATTTCCTAATCAAAAGCCCTCTTCTTCGTATTCGCTTTTAAAATTGTTTACGTCATCGGTCAGTTAGTGGTGCACCCCCTCCTAAGAAAAATCCTGGATCCGCCCCTGGAGTGGCCAGTGTTCTAGCAATAATCTCGTAATATATTTAGGGAACTAAAAGCTTCGCCTTGTCCTTTCAGCAAAGAGGATATAACGTAGTGGTGTTAAGCAGGGATGGACATTTTATAAATTCCCAAGCATTTGACTCCCATGCTTCCAGCAAAGCAGATGATCAACTAGCAACATTTCTTACTGGCCTGCCCAATAACGTGATCGTGTTAGCAGCGACCCAGGATCAGGCTTGGCGGGCCGGAGGCGCATCAGAGTCCAACAAACAGGTTGCTGACGTCCAGCTGACAAGCCTCGGAGCAACAAATCCTCGACCTTTGGAATATCGCGCCTCGTGGGCTTTAGTTGGTTATAAGGGTTCAAATGATCCAGCGGATTGGAAAAGATTTGCAGAGGCACGAAGAGGCCAAGGACCAACAGAAATCTTAGTGACGATCCCCATGGCCAATGGCTGCACATAAATTTCACAGACATGTCTGAAAGCGTTTGAACCCCATTTTAGTACGAGTTCGAAAACCTCGGAAAACTAGACTAATTCCGATCCCTCGTAAATCCTCTTTAGCCTCAACAGTGTGTACCCTCTTTTTCCCTTTCTTTAAAATTTAATAATTGTAAATTCATTAATTACATAGCGTCAAAGTTAAGAGCAATCAATAGCTGCACGTAATACATTCTCACCGCCGGTTTTATTACTACTACGATAAAAGTTAAATGTTCAGCATGTTCCTGAGCACTCTGTGTTGACAATAGTAAAGGGGAATAAAGTAGAATCCGGTTAATACGGACACCAAGGGGACATGCCATAGTGTCCGTATTATCCGGAAGTCCGTATTTAGCGGGCTCTCAGAAGAAAACTTCACGGACTGATGTTTTATTGTTATTAAGACTAAATCAGACAAAGAAGAATTGAAATGAAGAATAATCTTTAAATTATGAAGCTTTCCGGCAGCACATCAGTGGTTTACAGAAAGGTCCTAACTAAGATCAAAAATTGTAATTAAAAAAAAAATAGATTTTATAAATGAAAGATACCTGGAACTAAAAAAATACATATATATGTCTGACTGGATTTGGTAAAACATGGCTATTGTCATTGTTAAGCTAGCCTCAGCTAGTGGCTCTTAACTGCTTTCCATTCGACTTAGATGTCAAATGGTTAAAATGCACTTGAAATTTCTTTACCCTGTTCACAGACCCTCCATTTTCTCTTCTAAGTCTGTCGAGCGCGCGTGATAAAAAATAAAAACCGGGAGGGATTTATTGACCGCCAGCGCAAGGGGGTAGGGGTGGGGGAAGAAGAAAATAGTTCTTTATTTTTCTTTCTCGCTCTCCGCGCTCGCCGAAAAGAAAAATAAAACAACATCTGTGTACAGCTAACGTTTAAGCAAATCCAGACAGATAATGAACATGTTTTACACAAATCTCCTCATTGATTCCTGACCCTGCCTTAAGTAAATTGCCACCAACTCTGATGTAATATCCTGCGGGCGTGGTGGGGGCGTAACAATAGACTGCTTTAAAGGATCTGGAACAAATCCTTTCCTCAGTAACTGATTGTAAATGTGGCATATATTAAAAAAAAAATGGGCGCAAACTCCCTAAGCAGCTCATAGGAAATCCCATCAGGACTCATAGCCTTATTTATTGCTAATTTACGTACATCAGACAACACTTCCTCCAAGGAGACAAATGGATGAGATGGAACAACATTAGGGGGGGGTCTCGACTGAAGTGAGAGGTTCAAAATGCTCAGTGATGTTGACGAAGAAGTTGTTAATTTCGGTGGCCAGGTTAGAATTATTGGGGGTTGTGTCGCTGAGGAATTGATAGTATCACTCCTGTTTAGGAGATATGTCTTGGCCAGTTAGAGACTTGACTTGTTTCCACCATTGCTTAGGATTAGTTACAGCTAATTCACTGACTTTGTTGTTATAGAAACGGTGTTTAGTAGACTTAAATGTTAGAAAATGTACCAATTGCATTGTCATTATATATCACTGCATGACAGCGCAATAAATACTCAGTTCCGGCATGCATACTGATTACTGTTCTTACCGGAAAACTTTTGTTGTTGTTGTTGGTTTTTTTGTCTTTTTTGTAGGAATTCATCACTACAAGGTTAAGACTTACTGACTGAGCACTGGCCTCATTTTCTGTGTCTTTTTCCTTAAAATCCCGTAAGGCACCATATGAACAGTGCTTGTCAGTCAACGCACATATTATAAATTATAGTTACAGTGTCTGATAGAGTGAAACCGAGTTTGTGTTATTAAACGCGTCCACAATTAATATTATTACTGGAAAAAAGAGTAGAGAATGAGGAGAAACAGCAACAATTTCTTTGCCTTGCACCAGTTGTTTCCTTTTTTCAAGTTTAATAACGGAATGTGAATGTAACTATCACAGTTGTGAACTCGAGAAAATAAAAGAGACGAAAAAGCCTCACTGAGGACAAACAAGTCCATTAGTAAAACGCAAAAATGAGGAGATACACAAAAGTATAAAACACATTCTTGGATCAAACCCATCTGGACAGTTATTCAACAGAGTTTAGCAGTGTTAAACAAACTGACCGCGTTCTAAGCCATCATGTTTCAGTTTACCAAATGCTTTTACTTAAACAAAATTAATCGTGAAAAGACACTTGAAGACCCTCCTTGAATCATAAAGCGAAGAATTATAAGAGCATTTATCTTCTTAAAATAACCCACTAAAGACGAGATCTCGAGGTCCAATGATTTGCTAAACCGCGGCCTGAGTTAGACTTCGTTTAAATAACCGACCCAGTTGGAGTTTAAATGTTGCTCTCCGTCGACTTTATTTGACCGATACTTTTAACGATCCTCTAACGGACGGGAGGCATTGGGTAGAACCGTGTTTACAAACACCAAAATTTCTAAAAAAGAGTAACCGGCCAAAATTATCGGCAGAACCAGGCCAGTGTGAACGGTAAATAGCTCCAGTTCGAGTCCAAGATAACAGCTTGCACGTAGCGATTCTCTTTGAACTTCCTCACAACAAATGCGAATACAACAATTACCTTCAAACATAACCCAGCCCAAAGTGAGACACGACAGATATGTATGGCATCCCAAAAACGTTTTGGACGATGTAGGATTTCAAGAAGAAAACGTTCCAGAAAATCCGGTTGGAAATTAAATGGAACACGACCTTTCTGGTTATTTCAGTGGAAAATTTCTGGGAGCGACGGAACATCTAAAATGGTAGTTGTTTTGCCGTTCGGAGATCTCCAAACGGCAATTCGTGTTCCATTTCTTCAAAGTCATCTTTGATATCAGTTTAAGGCTTTCGCGGCCGTCTTTCGGTAATAAATGGAACCGTGATTTGTGTAAATGGTGAACGCGATTCCGGGACCAAATCAGTTTACTAACCCTGAATTTTGCTCACCATTTTCCCAAACCGTTAACCGACCGGCTTGCCCATGTAAATGGTAAACAACAAAAATTTCTAGTTTCGACAATAACCAAGATTTCAGTTCATACACATGCACCTTCAAGCGACGGGTATCCAAATGACATGCTCTGATTGGTCGGCTCTCATGTTTTGCCTTCTTCCTGTCAAAACCCGATTGTCTTTAGTTAATGCATATGGCCCACGTTCGATATATTAAAATTCTAGGCTTTCTGGTTATTTTTCTATACTTTGTACTTTTGAGAATTGCGAGACGATGGGATCGAGAAAAATAAGCAACTTGTAGGTAAAACTCCTCGGATTCATGTTAGAATTTTAATATATCGAACGTGAGTTATTGCATACAAATATATAGTAATAATAAAAAGATCTCATTCACCATTTCCAAATAGAGCATAATGCACCTTGCTTACCCGCAAAATTAGTATTTAGCTGGTCTGTAGATATGCAGTTCTTTAGCTTTTCAAATGAATATAAATATATCTTTAAAATGAATACAAATATATCTATAAATTAAGAAAAAGCTTGGTGAAATAAATACGTCTTTAAGTGTTTTTGAAAGAATTCAAGGAATCGGCATTTCTTAAAGATGCGGGTAAGCTATTCCATAGTTTAGGTCCTGCGATAGATAATCTTCGATCACCGTAAGGCTTTAGCTTAGATCTCGGGACTTGAAGTAACTTATTCGAGCAAGAACGCAAAGAGTAGGAGCTGCTACAAAAACTGAGCAAATTGGATATATAACTTGGTGAAAGTCCATTGATAGCCTTATCTACTAACAATAAAATTTTATAAATAATACGGTATTCACCAGGCAACCAATGTAAGTCTATCAAGCTTGGTGATATGTGTTCATATTTCTTTGTGAATGTTACGATGCGCGCTGCTCTATTCTGAACTAGATGTAGGCGGTTCAAGAGAACTTTAGGTAGTCCGTATGGAATCGCATTACAGTAATCCAAGTTGGTAGTCACAAAAGCATGAATAATTGCTTCTGTAGATTCACCATCCAAATATGTTCTTATCTTACTAATCATTAGTTAAATGGAAATGACATGTCTTGCAAAT